TATGGAGATACCTCAAAGAACTAGGACTAGAGGTCCCATTTGACCCAGCTATTCCTCTACTGGGTATCTTCCCAAAAGAATTAAAAGAATCATACCACAGAGATATATGTGCACCCATGTTCACAGTGGCACAGTTGTTAATAGCTAAAGCTTGGAAACAGCCCAAGTGCCCATCAACTGGAAACTGGATAAAGAAGATGTGGCTTTTTCTATAAAATGGAGTACTACTCAGCCATGAAGAACGAAAAACTAGAGTCATTTACAGCTAAATGGATGCATATCGAGGCCATACTCTTAAGTGAAATAAATAGGACACGTGTAAATACCGAATAGTTTCTCTAGTGTGAGAAACTAATAGTGTAAACAAGGGTTAAAATAATTAAAATGAATAACTGATAATTTGAAATAGGAAAAAAGGTCCAAAGACGAAGGGGTGAAGGGAGGGGAAGGGGAAAGGAAAAACTATGAGAAAAGGAAAAAAAATGGAAATGATGTCTATGTAAATAGAGAAGGGCACACAGGTAATGGGGAAAAAATAAGAACCAAGATACATCATGTACAGGTACAAGCACCCAATGATAAATGTAAACGTATTGTATACCTAAAATGTACCAATAAAAGAACAAACAAAAAACTATAGGTTTAGCTTTCACATTGAGAACTGTGATCATCTTGGATTGTTAGGTACAGTGTGAGGAAGCTGTCAAGGCTAATCTGTTTTCACATAGTCTGTTTCTGCAATGTATTGAAAAGACATTCCTTTTCCCCACTGGTCTGCTTTGATGCCTAGCTGAAAACCAAATCATCATATGAGTGTGGGTATGTTTTAAGGTTCTCTATCCTGAAATACTAAGTTTTTAAAAAAGACTAGCTAGCTGGGAATGGTGGTACATACCTTGTAATCTCAGCATGTGAGAGGTTGAGGCAGGAGGATGGTAAGTTTCAGACCAGCCTCAACTACACAGTAAGATCGTGTCTTAATAAAAAAGAAAGAAAAAAAGAAAAGACAAGACTAGCTCATGGAAAAGTTGCAAAAACCTAATAGGAAAATCTAACTGAAAAAAAAAAAATTTTTTCCCTGAAAATGAAAATTTCTTTTAGAAAAATCATAATCACTCAAGATTTAACTTTATAGACTTGGTACATACATGTTATTGAATTTGAAGGCAATCTGAAGTTTTCCTAAGTGCTACAAATAAATTGTTCCTTTAACTTAGGAGTATTTTTTTTTTAACTTCAAGGTCCTAAAATAATTTAAGACAGGAGGATTCAGGGCAAAAACAAAACAAAAAACAACTAGTCTGAAAGACAGCAGCATTTTCTTGATGATCAAATTAAAATTATTTAAAAAGAGAAAAAAATGTCAAGATGACTGGACCGTTTCCCACGATATTCACAATAAAGTCCAAAATGCTGACAACACCAGCCTATTAAGTCTTACACCATCTGGCTCTCTCCAGTCTCATTTCCTACCCTCCTCCTTGTGTCCACATCAGCCTCTTTATGCAAACACTTCACCTTTCCAAAGCCTTTGTGGCTTGTTTCTATCCAGAACACTTTTCCCTCAGATTTCTGCACAGCTCACCTCACTTTTTTTCCCTTTAATTTCACTTTGTTACCCAGACTAATCTTGAACTCTTGGATTCAAATGATCCTCCTGCCTCAGCCCCAGTAGTTGGCACCGGCCATGTGCCACCAGCCATGTGCCACCACGCCCAACTTCATTTGTTTTTTTGTTATTGTTTTCTTGTTTTGAGACAGGGCTTTGCTATGCAGCCCAGGCTGGCCTCAAACTTGCTGCAGTCCTCCTGCCTCAACCTTCTGAGTCCTGGGATCACAGGCGTACGCCACCATTCCTGGCTTGTACTGTTTTTGTTTTGTTTTATTTGTTTGTTTTTTGGTACAAGGGATCAAACTCAGATCCTTGTGCTTGCAGAGCAGGAGGCGGAACCAATGAGCTAAATCCCTAGCCCTTGTACTGTTTTTTTAAAGCAGCTTCTTGCTATTTAGCTCAGACTGGCCTCAAAACTTTGAGTGATCCTCCTGCCTCAGCCTCCTGAGTGCTGGGATTACAGGCATGTGCCACCATGTCCAGTCCTTCTTTACTTCTTAAAAGCCTCTTAGTGCTCATAACTTCTTTAGAGAGGCATTTCTTGATCACCTCTTCTAACTGTAATGCACTCACTGTTATCTACCAATAACTATTTTTTCCCAATGCTCTTAATCGCAATTTATTTGCCATTTAACTCTTTTAAACAATTGTAAATTCTACAAAGACAAAGCGTTATGTTTTGCTCACAATTTGAACAAAGTAAAAACTGAATAAATTTTTATTGAAAGATAAATGAAAAAATGTTAAGTGATTTCAAGTATAAAAGTGTAGTGACTTACCAATACACTGATTTTGCATAAAATTCAATATTATCAGAAAAATCCCCAATTTCTTCTTTGGCAATACTCTCTAACCAATCTACCACCATCTGGGGGGGGGGGCAAAAAGATAAGCATTAACCATAAAATGTATGAGTGCTTTATTTATAGTGATAATTCAATTATCCTTAATACGATTTTTTTTTTTTTTGGTGATATGGAAGATTGAACCCAGGGCCTTCACACTGAGCTACATCCTTAGCTCATTTTTAATTTTTATTTTGAGACAGTCTTGCCAAATTGCCCAGACTGGACCTGAACTTGCAGTCCTCTCGCCTCAGCCTCCCAAGTAGCCGGGGTTATAGGTCTGAGTCACTGCACCCAATTTTCAAACACTTTTTGACTTAAAAAATATCAAGCAACAATTTTTCCAAGCACCATTTTTACATTTTTAAGATAAGTAAATAGCATGACAAAAGAATAAATAAATATACAGGCTTTATTTATTTTTTTTGACAGGCTACTCCTGAAAATACTAGGGCTGTCATTTAAAAATTAAAAAACAATTTTTCAAATTCAAATTATAAAATTTATAATTTTAACTACAAATAAATAGATCAAGTTGAAATAAAATTAAGAAAATGTTTTAAATTTTAAAAAAACTTTAATACTTCATTACTTTTCTCTACTGTTTTGGTTTTGTTTTGTTTTTTTTTAAAGACAGGGTCTTGCTATGTATCCCAGGCTGGCCTTGAACTTGCAGTGATCCTCCTGCTTGGCTTCAGGAGTGCTAGATTCCAGGAGTATGTCAACATACTCCACAATTGGAAAAAAAAAAAATTGAAAGTATTCTAGCCATACCTGACACTGTCGGACAAGGGACTCTCTCTGAAACAATGCTTCCACAAATGTTTTTTCACTGGCATTAACAGGCTGTTATAGAAATTATTTCAAAGAAGGAAGAAAAATAAGAACATGTTTTAAGAATATTACTCAACAGAAAAATAAAAGCCAATCAGAAATAATCACCTATACATAGATGTTCAACCATACAATAAATCTGTACGTTTATTTCTGAAAAGCATTTATAAATAAATTTCAACTTTCAAGATTAATGTGCAGTTGCTCTTATTTGACATTTAAATTTTTTACACTTGGAATTTAATATTCTATTTCCTCATGGCTGATGTATTAAGGGACATAAACACAAAATTAAATTTAAAAAACACAAAGTGTAATAAAGGGCTAGTTATACACATATTAGAAAATGAACATTAAGGAACTTTAAAATATTTTCATGTAACACAGCAGAAGCTGATAAGTACAACACAAGACTTTTAAGACTCTTTGTGACAACATGGCAGAAATATTAATAAGTAACGCTAAGCAGTATATGAAAAAGGATATGTTGTGACTACTTCAAGCATGGGGCAAATCTATTAATAATCTATTTTATTCATGGGTTAAAGGAGAAAAGTTACATGAGCTTTTCCTATTTTCCTGGTACTAAGGGTTGAACCCAGGGCCTAAGCTATATCCATAGGCATTTTTAAAATTTTTATTTGAAGAGAGGGTCTCACTGAGTCAAAGTTACCCAGGCTGGGCTCAAACTTGCTAACCTCCTGCCTCAGCCTCCCAGAGGGCTGAGATTACAAATATGGGCCACCGTGCCCACCTAAGCTGTGTGTGTGTGGGGGGTGTGGGCGTGTGTTGCTGAACACAGAACCCAAAGCCTTGTGCATCCTAGACAAGCACTACCTCTGACGTAGATGCCCAGACCTACATGAACTTTTTCATTGATGTTAAAATCACTTGATAAAAATAATTTTCCCAATTTAAAATATTTCACTAATGTAACTACCTGATTTAAAAATCTAGCCAATACCATAATTTTTTTTTTGGTACCGGATATCGAACTCGGGTCCTTGTGTTTGAACAGCAGGCGGTGAAACCACTGAGCTAAATCTCCGGCCCTAGCCAATACTATAATTAAAGTGAAACACTTTCTTTAATGTCCAGAAGACTCAAAGAAGAATCCTTGCTACTACTAAACTATTTTAGAAAATGCTACCTAACATAAACCAGAAAAATAATTAAGTCATAATAAGTACGGAAAAAGAATCAGAATCATCATTATTTGTAGATAATCAAAGTCCCTACCTAGGAAACTAAAGATAATGAATGAACTATGGAACTAATAAGAGAGCTCAATAAATACCTAACTATAAGACAGACTTTCTAGAAGTGCAAGTTACTTGTTGGTATTTGTGGAATACAGAGACTGGAAAGATATTAAAAGTATTTTTGGTAACAAAAAACAACAGACTAACAGATATGGGTAGTTGAAATTATTATAAATACAAAGTTATTTTCTTTTTTTGATTATATATAATTGCTTCAAACATGAATTACTTTTGAAATCAGAAAGTTAAACATAATTAATCCCCAGAAATGCACCTAGTCTTAATGGTTTTATAGGCATATTTTTATTATCTTTCAAAGAACAAGTAATTCCTCACTCTTCAAAACACAACGTATTGAAGACTCTTGAACTTGTTCTGCAGAGACAGCATAACGCTAGACACTAAAACTGAATGAGGATAAATCACAAAAAAAGAAAATACATTTAGGGAGTTCTAAATATTTAGCTAATACAATCTGGAGGTATATTTAGGGATGAAACTGACAGAGACTTTATCCTGAGATAATACAGTGGCAGGAAACCTATTATTAGAAACCATTACACTAATAAATTAAAGTATTTATACATGCTAAAACATTTGTTTTGAGTGCATTCAATATCCATTCCAACCCTTAGCAAATCAAGAGACAAGAAACCCTTAATGTAGTAAAACATCAAACGTAAAGATGAAAAGCAAAAGTATTCTTTTCAAGAATAAGAAAAGAATGTCTGCTATAATTGAAGTAATTCACCATTGTATGGGTGCTCCTAGTCAATGTAATGAGGAGGGGAAAGAAATAAGAGGGATACGAAACAGAAAGGACCGAGGAAAACTCACTATTTTCAGATGACTACTGCTCACATACAAAACCAAATAAACTCAAATAAAAAATGTACAAGAGCTGGAAGACGACAAAACGTGAACTGTACACATAAAGGAGTAACTTTCTACTTCACAGTAATAGCTAATTAGAAAATAAGATGGAGACTCTATTCACAAAAGGATGTGCAGAGAATTTTACAGAGAAAGTATAAGATCTATACAAAATTTAAAAGATCCGAATAAATGGAGAGAGATGCTATTAGCAATGTGAAGATTCAACATGGTAAAGATGTCATTTTCCCAAATTACTATTTCAATAAATATTCTAAAAGAACTTTAAAAAAACCAAAACTTTAAAAAAAAAAGCAACTTTTTTTCAGATGGAAAGTTTATCTGAAGAAAAAAAGTATGCAAAAGTAGCCAAAAATGTATTTATATATGGGAAAGGGGGACTTATCCTACCCAAATATGGAAATTTTGGCATTAGAATGCAATCATTATGTACTCCAAACATGTACTAATAAAAATTAAAAAAAATTTTTTTGGGGGGGCAGGTACCAGAGATTGAATTCAGGTCCTTGTGTTTGCGAGGTAGGCGCAGTGCCACTGAGCTAAATCTCTGGCCCAAAAATAAAAATTTTTTTTAAGTAAAAAGTTTAAAAAAATTTCTGAGTTAGAGTAACTCATGTAGCAGTCACTTTCAAGTGAATAAAACAGAAAATATTCATGTATAAATGAGACTTGGTATATTATGAAGGTAACATTACAAATCAGTGAAAGATGACCTGCTTGATGAAGGGTGTTGGGCTAAATATTCATTTGAAAAAAGTTAAATGTCTTTTTTATTTTATAGTCCAGATGAATTTAATTATATAAAACAAGAGTTAAATTTCTAAAAAAATATTGAAAAATATTTCTTTTTATACTTTTTGGTTTTTAAGACAGGGTCTTGCTATGTAGTTTAGGCTGGCCTTGAACTCACTATGTAGCCCAGGCTAGCCTTGAACTTGCAATGATCCTCCTGTGCCAGCCTCCTGAGTGCTGGGACTACAGGCATGTGCCACCACGCCTGACTGAAAAATCTTCTTTTTTTTCTTTTTTTGGTACTGGGGATCGAACTCGGGTGCTTGCATTAGCAAGGTAGGTGGTGTAACCACTAAGCTAAATCCCCCGCCCCTGAAAAAAAATTTGTTTTTTTTGGTACCGGGGATCAAACTCAGGTCCTTGTGCTTGAGCAGCAGGCTGCGAAACCACTGAAGAATATTTTTAACAGTAGGAAGGGCTTTCCTTATGAGACACAAGATAATGAATGCAAAAGGAAAACATATGAACAACAAAAAAGGAAAATGACCCTTAAATAAAGTTGAAAGACAACAGAAAAGAAAATATTATTAACAGGTATAAAAGAAAGAATAAGAAAATACTGGAAAATGAGCAAAAGCTATGAACACAAATTTATAAAAAATATGAATCAATTATGAAAAAATACTGCACCTCACTAGTGACCAAAGATTTGCATATTACAACACTGAGCTACTTTCCTAATTAGGAAAATCAAATGACTGTTAATATCCCATATCAAAGTAAACATTATGAGTGGAAGTGTACACTGGTATGTGCAGTAGGTAATACAACAATCTCAAATTTTAGCCCAATCATTTAACTTCCAGAATACAGAAAACACTTGCACACATATACAAAGATGAAGCATTTTTACTGTATTGATTACTGTAGCAAAAACACTAGAAACAAATGTCTAGCAGAATGCCTAGGACATGAAGGTACATGGCACATTAAAAAAAAAAGGTAAACGTCTATTAATTGACATACAAATTCATTTACAAATATTAATGAAAATTTAGTAAAATGCATAAATAAAATCATAGTATTTGTTAAAAAGACAAGCTAGTTATATATGAATATACGTATATGTATAGAGATACACAGAAAATGTCTGGTAGTGTACCAGCACATTCCAAAGTGTTATAATGAACAGTGAGAGGAATAAAAAAAGGCCTTTTACCTTAATCTCTAATATAAATCAATATTTGATTACTATGTTTAAAATGCAGAAGCTCAAGATGGAGGATTAAAAATAAAATCCTACCAGGGATTTAGCTCAGTTGTTTCGCCGCCTGCTGCGCAAGCGCAAGGACCCGAGTTCGATCCCCGGTACCAAAACAAAAATAAATAAATAAAATAAAATCCTATTACTAAAAATTTTTTAATTTTTAATCATTTATAAAGGAAAATATTAATATGAAACTTACAGGAGTTGTAAGCATATTTCCATTTTGTAATGAAGTCTGTATCCTGTCTCTGAGGAAACATAACACAAAATGAAAAAGCCTTATTTGAATGCATGAGCTCACCTTGTAATCTACTACATGTGTAAACCTACATTCTATCTAGTATAAATAAATGAGTTTGGAATTAATTTGGTCATTGCACTTTAAACACAAGTAGCAAATGCCTGCTGACATCTGAGCAAAACTCATATTCACCAAAAATACACATTGCAAAGTTTTTAATGGCTACCCACTAAGACATACACTTTTTCCATAACATTTTCATATAGTAACAATGAAAGAACCATTTTCTTTTCTCTCTCTCTCTGTCTCGATCTTTTTTGTTTCATTTTGTTTTGTTTTCTGAGACAGGGTCTTTGCTATGTAGCCCATTCTGGCTTTGAACTCACTATATAGCCCATGCTCTGCCCTTTACCTCAAGATCCTCCTATTTTGCAATTTATGTATACAAGAAATTATAGGCATTAAAAATATTTTATTGACTTTTTTTAAAAAAGATCCTCCTGCTTCAGCCTCCCAAGTGCTGAGGCCAGGCAAGTGCTGAGATTACAAGTCTGTGCCACTGAGTCCAGAGTCAATATTTTCTTTTAGGATGAGAAAGCAACAGAATGAAAGCCAAACCACTGAGCAGCTAAGAGAAAGTTTGATTAAATTCTTTCTTTCAAGCTTCTATTACATAAAGTCATCCCTTCGGTTCATTTTTTTTTTTTTTTTTTGGTACCAGGGATCGAACTTGGG